CTGCTGGCTCTTCACTGTGGCAGTGAGTACAATGTAGGCAGGGCAGGAAAAAACACATCCAGGAGTACAAGAAGAAGAGGTGGAGAGGGTTTTTACTTCAGCTGTGTACTCTTGCACATTTATTAGTGATACTCTGCACCAAGAGAGAAAGGTGAAATGAGAACTGGACACTAATGACAGAAGGTGGGGGGATTTTGTGTTCAAGGAGAATTGTGTTAGGCTGACATTAAATGCATCTACACGCACACAAAACACAGGGTCCAGGCATCTTGTGCGTGAGCAGGCAGCTTGCCCAGTAGGATTTGGGAGGGTTTTTTTTAGCCCAGTGGGGCGAGTGTGACCTCACGCGTGGCCTGGTGGGTAAGTCTCTCAAAGCTCTCGTAAACACTGCAGTAATCTGAGGAGGTGGGGAGGGGGCAGGCAGGCAAAGAGGCAAGGAAGGAAGGAAATCAAAAAGGAAGGAAGTGCGTTGAGGGAGGCGAGGTCAGGTATAAATGTTGGCGGTAGGATGGTCCAGCCTACAGGCGGTTGGAGGTGGTTGTGAGTGGGTAGCAGTGTACACAAAACATTCCCACACTCTCTTTAACATAGCCCTAAATTCAGTTCACAGAATGAACAGCCATCTTATTTTCATGTTTGTTTGTTTTTTTTTTAAATGAATGAATCAACATACACTTTATATATTTTAATAAGAGTATCAGTTTTTGATGGCAGCACAAATTGCTTCTTTGGTGTGTTTTCGACTTGGCGGGAAATAAATGCTTTGTTTTGTTTTGTTAACTCAAGTGACTGTTGAAAGTAAATGACTGCTGCTGTGTGTGTTTGAGAAAGTGTCAGAATGAGACAGACAGTGTGATGTGGTTTGACGTGTCACCCATGTGCTTCTCATCCTCGGCGTCACATTAGTGTTGTACATTTGGACTCCAGAGTAAGACAATAAATCAATTATATTTCTTAGTATTCTGACATCTTACCTTCACCAACAAGAAAATAAACAAGCCAACCGCAATAGGTAGAGGTCAGAGATCACTGATGGCAACCCTCTAATGAATGATATAGCCAAAAGGTAATAAAACAAGTGTCTTTAATTGAAGCAACCTAGGTTTAGCCCAGAAAAACAAATGGATATACAAAAGCAACAATTAAGATAATAACGCATGCCCAACAAGGGGATGTCGGGTAGCCTAAATCCCCATCAATGTCCTGGCGACACATACCTTCACTTGTTTTTGTGGACAGAAATTGGCAGTCATGGAATAAGATGTCAGCCTGTGTAATGAAGTAAAACAAATTTGCACTCCAGTCTGATTACCAGGCTACCCAGAGTGTGTTTCCTCCTATTGATCAAGAAGCAGATGCTAGAGCTTTGTACAAATTGGTGCTGTGTCACGGTTGCCATGGAGACCATGATGGCAGTTGATTTTGCGTTTGGATAAAAAAAAAAAACAGTTTCTGATCCTGCCGAACACAAGCAGCATGATTCGGACATATTTTGTGTGGTGAAAATCCAAGGTTAGAGAAGCAATTAGGGTGAAGTGGTTTTGTCGACAATATATTTTATACCTTTTATTAATTCATTTATTTTTCATTAAATAAACAAAGCTTCAACACAAAACAGAATTGTTCGGAGCAGTTATTGTACAGATGGTTACCTTTCTTAACCTACCTGTTTGACCATGCACAAGTCTACAGCATTTTCATTTTTTGTACATGTGCAAGTACCTCATCCTCCTTCAATACTCATGCAGATTAGTACTACAGTAATGTCGTAGTAAAATTACTACTAGGCGATTTGAGCATAAGTGACTTGGCATGATGAAGGTTGTTTATTTTTGTTCTACTGTTGATGGACTGGTGACCTGTCCAGGGCGCGACCCTGCTGTCACTGGATGTCAGCTGGATACAAGCTGCAGCTCCACCTTTAGTCCTAAACAGGATTAAGCCACAGGAGGTGCATGGATCATTGTTTAGATAGAAAGACCAAAGACACAGCAAAGTGTGACATCATGACTTTTGCCCCCTGGTGTCTTACTGCCGATACACTGATTAGATTATCAATTGAATCAGCCAGTTGTCTAACAAATGTATATTTCTGTAGCAGTCCATAACCCCCATGTGTTTTCATATCTTAAACGTTAAATATTGAACAGGCATCTTATCCTAAGTAAAAAGAATATTTTTGTTTCTGTCTAAGCGGATTCATTTACTCTGATTTTGTTTTTTACTATGTTACGTATTCTGCTGTCAGGTGAGATGAAATAGGTCAACAGTTATTATAAAATAATTTAAATTCATAATTCTTCATGCCAGCCAACACAAAGTTGTTTTTTTAGTAATGTTAGTAATGTAAGGTAGTAATGTTAGGTAGCCTTTAGTGTAATTAAATGATGTAGATCAGATTATAGGAGTCCCATGATCAAATTGGGTCACAGAAAAAGTCAGGAGGCTGAAATATTTGTGCAGCGGTCTGTGATCATCACACTACTGCTCTCGTTGAGGTCATCAGTCAGCAGCCAACTTAAAGACGTGTCATGATTTGTTCAGAACAAACTGGGAATCAAACTTGCATGTTAAAATGAAATCAGAATTGAACCATCATACTTGAGCTGGGAAGGGGCTCAACAATAGGCCATAACTTTGATAGAGACGGTTGATTTCATCCACATTTTACTTAGTGACCCCCTCAGGTAAGTGCATTGGATAATTTCAACATTGAAATATAATTTCACCAATTGAAATAACCACTATATTTGGATTATGATTGGATGTAGGAAGTGAAGTTGAGACTTCAAAAATCACCTGCAGCCATTTTAGCATTGATGCTCTCTGTTAAATACAGTGGTGTTGTATTATTTTTTTAGGTGTTCCCAGCTGTCACATGCTCAGTTTATGATTGGAACCTGCCTCAGACAGAACAACACAGGATCCTTGCTCACATTTCCAGCTTTATTTGTGTGGCGGAGACGAGGGCACGTGTGGCCACTCCATCCTCCTCTGCTGATATAAGATGGCTGTTAGCCCACCCCACAGCAAAGCAGATGGCCAATTAGAGAGCAGCAGGAAGTGCCAGTAATTAGCCTCCAGCCCTCACTTTCCTGTGTTTTACCACACACACACATACACACACACACTCTCACACTCGCAACAACAAATATGGAGGTTGAATGAATTAGTGAGTGCTGCAGTGACACTGCACCAGGGTAGTCTGCTAAACACACACACACAGACACACACAGGGGGGTTAAAGGATATTCCTTTCCTCTTTCTCTCAGGCTGTCATCAGCTGACGATCGGGACTCATTCACTCCCCTGTTGCTCAGACCAGAGAGGTGAATGAAATATGTAGCTCCATGTTAAAATACAGACAGGAGCTTATCATACACCTGACAGCAGTGTTGAGACGAGTCCAAGTCAGCAACAAGTTTGTAAAAAAAAAAGGGGCAGTGTTTGAGACATCATTCTTAGACTAGAACAGAAAGTGACAGTGCTTGGCGCAGTAACATGTTGTTGTTTTACAGCCGAGCATACTGTGCTGTATGTATTGTATTTGTAGAACAGTTGGTTAAGGTGCTGGTCGATTGCTCAGCAACAGCATGTGAAATTTATCTATAGCTGTTGCTGCACTGGGGAAATTAATGCAAATTAGTGAGACGTGTCTGTGTGTGTGTGCGCTCGCTCACTCGCTGTGCTGTAAAGTTGAGTTGGCTTCCTGGCATGTTTACACAAATACCTCCAAACATTTTGACTATCTCTTTTTTATCCCAAGTGACCTCCCATCTTTTCATCATGTTTGTGGCTAAAGCCTCATAATGCAATTGTGGCAAGTTGTGTGAGAGGGGCTCGAGTATCAGTGTCTCCAATAAAACACACACACACACACACGTGGATTTCTTCACAGGATTTTGTCCGACCTTTAAATATGGATGTTGATTTAGACACAAGGTTCCTGTTCGCGTCCCCTCTCAACCAGAGTGCAAACACTGCAGTGTTCTAGGACTGAGCCAGGCTTCACAGTTAACACCAAACACACACAGACGAGAGTCATGGATCCCCATTGCTGCATACAGCCTCATTAATTCGAATGCACCGTTTATTAACCTCAAATAGCATCACACCTGAGATTAGTGGGGCTCGGCACTGTTACTGTTACCTTTCAGAGTCAAATACAGCAGCTCCATGACAATAAAATGTCACTAAAAAGTTGGCGCTGTGGCCTTTATTTGCATCCATGTACACAAACACAAATCCTTCATCAAACATCTGCGTTTGAATACACTCTCTACTCTAAGTATTTGATGAGTCGATGCAGAGATAGTAACACAATCTCACTTTAAAGGAGGGTTTATTTAAAGAAATTGATTAAACAATCCTTAATATATTTGAATTGGTGTGTCATTACACCTGATAAAATTATGGTTTATTTATTTATTTTTTGCTTTTTTTTCAGCTTTTGTGGAATGGCAAAAACATTGAACCTGTCTGTCCTAATTTAAAGACATTTTTTTCTCTGGATAAAAAAAACCCTAACAATAATAGATTCAAATTTGATCTCTTTTCTTTTTCTGTGATTATAAGTGTTTGTTGTTCTTATACTTTACTTTATTCCTCTCCTCAGATCATCAGAAGCTGGAGAGAGAGGCTCGGATCTGCCGTCTGTTGAAACACCCCAACATTGGTAAGTCTTCATGTTATTTATCATAAATCTGTTGTTCTGTAATTTCCAAATTTGGCAAAGTGAGCGGAGCATATTGTAGATTGTTTTTTAAAAAAATAAAAAATATTTGGATAATACATAAAGGTAATATAGCTAAGTACATTTGTTTTAAAAGGAAGAATTAACCATCATCCTGGCATTTACAAGGGCACACGTGGCAGTAGACAGATTTATTTTCAGAAATCAAAGATTCTTTTATCCTCTTAGTAGATTAGTTATTATTTATAATATGAAATATAAATGCATTACAATATATGGTATTTATTTGTACATCAAACTGTACTGAGAAGAGTTTGTATTAATTTCAAGAAGGGATGTGAATTTCATATACAGATAATAGTTGTATATTAAAAATAATATTATTATTGCATAATGACTGTATTTTAAGGACTTTCAACAATGTTTTAGTCAGCCAAGAGTGCAGCTCTACTTTTCTGTGACTGAACTACTTTCAATAAATAAAAGGCCTAAATACATCAATATAATGTACTACAGGATTAACAATAAGGACAAAAATAGGGTGACATAAAAAGCACATCAAGTAAAAAATTAGCTTTAATGGAATTTTTTTGCGAACTTGACAGTTATTTAATCAGATTCCTGTTATGTGCTTTACTTCACACACTTCACTTTACACAATGTTTTTTAAGCATATCAGGCCACTATCTTATACTTCCAGTCGACATGTGCATTTATTATAAGCTTGCACTTAGGAACAGAAACATTTACCCTTCTGTAAAGTTGTCAACTTGTCATCGTTCTTAGATGGATTAGAAATGTGTTGAATTTTTGACCAATTTTCACAAGAATGGAATATTCAGTTTTAGTCACACCGACCTTATAATAGTAAAGAGGAGCTGGGCTCTGGTTCGGTAACTATAGATTCCAAAATTAGTTTTAAAATTATGAGCTGTAGGACCAACCTCAGCTGTTACAACTGGTGTCCAGATTTACCCCAAAGTCATTTTTAAGTTTCCCTTTTCACCTAAAAAATCAAGCTGCATGTGTTTAGCCTGTAGGGAACATCCTTAATATAACTGCAGTCAATGTGACACAACCGTGCTATAATGGTGTCACCACTATCACACTTGCACGTGTTAGCCCGAGTTAGAGCTTACTCTAAAGTGATTGTTATTTTTTGTAGATTGCAATGAAGCTTTAAAAGTCTGGATGTTTTGTAGTTGACGGCATTTAAACATTTCTCGCCTCCGCAGGCCTGTGCTTCCACTGTACGCCCACAAACACGTTCTCGCTGATTACTGTTATTGTTTGATAGAATACATTTTCAAATGAAAGTTGGAAAATGCTCTATATTATATTAGAGCACTTAAATGATGGTAATTATAAATTGTGCAATCATAAAGATCCGCACCCTTTACTATAACTTAAATAAAAGGATGAGTTTATTTTTACCCTAGATTTTTTGTATATTATAATAAGTATTGTCAAAGTGACAAAGATGCCTCTCCCCCCGCTTGTTTTTAGGGTCATAAAGGAATCATGTCTCTCTCCAGTAATCTGATTGTTGGACTGATGACAGGTTTTCTTCTGATCCTCTGAATGTAGCCTTGTAAGATCGGTTACCATGGTGATTGTACTCAGTAAAAAATGAGCCAGCTTGGTTAAAAAAAAGAACTGATAAAAATCTTGGTTTAATCATTTTCATCATCATATTATTTCATCATCATATTGTTGCTCTGTTTTTGCCAGCTTTCTAACCTTACTATTTGAGACTTTCAGTCAAACTCCTCACAAGCGTTTTAAGGACAAATTTCTGTTCAAACACAAAATGTGATGCCAGTTAAAAAAGAAAAAGAAGTGGCTGTTGGTGCCCTGAAGATGTGCTCACTGTGAGAGTTCTGCAATGCCTCTGTTGATCTGGATCTTTTTTTTCTGCCAACAGATGGGCTATTTGTCATAATTTGATATAATAGTCACTGTAATAATAATGAAAAAGATGTGATTGGTTTAAATAAAGCACAAAGGAGGAACCCAACAATAAATGACCCAATCCTTTCCCACTGCTGTTGGTGCTTTTTTCCTCGTGTCCTAGATTTGTGTCCTCCAGGCGTTCATCTGCCCGATGCCTACTTTTCCTTTTTTTAGTGCGTCCTTGTTAAAGATACTTGTCCCCCACTTTTGTTTCTATTTCTATTTTTTTCTTGGCATATTTTGGCATTGAAATCATCTAAACTTTGGATAAAAGGGGACACGGAAATGAGACAGATGGAGAGACCAAAGCAGGGGTGTGAGCCAGATGGAGAGAGAATAAAAAGATGGAAGAAGGAGAAAAGAGCAGTCACTCTTGTCTTTTGCTGCAGGGCCATCCCACTTTGCTATTATACCATTCGCATTCATGTAATGTAGTGCTAACCGTGGCTTTCTTGATACCAGACCTAAGCCCAATCACAGACACTATCAACGTCTGCCTCCTGCTGCCCTGGATTCTGCTTTGTCATTCTGCTGCTGTTAGTTTACGTTGATAGTCGCCATCCGAGTGCAGCATCACGGTAATGTGAGCTCATTACTGTAATCACCATTTTAATTTTCCTGTTCTCGACCAATCGCTCACTTGTCTTTGTCAGTGATCAAGAACGATCTCTGGTAACAGGCGATTATGTTTTTTGCAAAAAAAATGTTTCCCCCTTAATCTCTGATCGCCTCTCGCTGTTTAATGCAATTTGGAAAATGTTTAACTTTGCCCTTCTGAACAGCACACCACACTGAATATTATCCACATTCAGATCTTGTCACATCAATGGATGAAAAAGCTTTTCAATCTTAGATTTTAAATCTAGAAAAAAAAAATCTAGCAAAAACACGGAATGACAACGAAGTATTATAAAGTAAGAAAATAATTTGTGTTTAGTACTTTATTCAGATTTGCATCAAAAGTTGCTTTCAGGTGGAGACTGTGAGAGGATGATTTTAGGAGGCTACTGTGGCCACCATCCTACCATTAGATGTACTGCGAGGTTACTGGAATGAAAATAATACCCATTTTTGAATAAGAAAGAATATTTCTTATTCAGATTATCCTTGTCTCATTGGCTTCCTTCTCTGTTACAGTGAGACTCCATGACAGCATTTCGGAGGAAGGCTTTCATTACTTAGTCTTTGACCTGTGAGTATATACACACTCAGTGACATTTAATCCATCCACGTGACTGTGGTTTGTTTGTGTATGCTAACAACGTCTCCTTCCTACCTTCCTGTCAAAATCCGTCCCTGTCATTCTTCACTTTCCTCATTTCTCCCTTTCTTTTTGTTTATTTTCCTCCCAGTGTGACAGGAGGAGAGCTTTTTGAAGACATCGTAGCCAGGGAGTACTACAGTGAGGCCGATGCCAGGTGAGCATCTCATACAGAACACTGCGGAAATGCGCTGATTATTCCTGTTACATATACAAATCCCCTTTCAGTTCATGAATGTGATCACACAGATGCACACCATGTTGTTCTCTTATTTATTGTGTATAAAAAACAGAAGGTTACACAAATTTAAAACAGATTCTATTAGCATACATTTTGTCCTCTGTATCTGAAAAAAAAAGACCAAGATGAGATAAAAACTTCAATGTAGACATGGACTTGCTTGCTCATACATGCCACAGTCCCCTAAGTGCTTTCATTTAGGTCACACATTGATACAGTTTCACCACAAATACTCAATTATTCACATGATAACAGAAGGAAGATTGTGGTCCTTGGGTTAAACAAAACATTTTCCCTGCAATGTGTACCAAAAAAACACGTGTATTGACTGTGTATTACAGCAACGACAAGTGGATGGATGGCTTGAATGCACCGTCTGCTTTATTCTACCTATATGCGTTAATATGCTTCATGTATATCTGATAAATATGACTTTTTCGTTTAGCCAATAAGCTTAACATTTTGACAGCCCAGGTTCACATGGAAGTATATCAGAACCAAAGCATCTGTACTTCACTTTTAATGCCCCTTAAAGTTTAACAGGATTTTTTTGACCTAGGGGAAAGAGGATTTTCTAAATTAAGGATTTATGCTGTTGAAGACACACATATAACAATACGGTGGGAGACATTGCCGTGGCTGCTGTGAAATTGTATTATATATTGCGGCTACATGTGACAGTAAAATTTTTTGAATAATCCCCTCCTCGGTTTTCCCTTCCTTCTTCCCTCTGGCTTTTCTGATCTGTGACTCTAAAGTCTGTTGTACAATTGGATTAAGGGTCTTTGGCTGTTCATGCTCACATGGGGCTTTGGAAACACACACGAACCAGGGCCACACAGAGTAAGCCTTGACCACATTTTTCCAAGCTGCGTCTGACCTTTGACCCGTTAACCTTTCCCGAGACAACCCATCACCACGAACCGTAGGCAGTAGGATAACTAAGCCTCACGTTAGTGTGTTTGACAGTAATGAGGTGGGTTAGGGAGCAGCTCGTCGGAAAACACTCATCAACAGACCTGTCACGAACAAACACACAGACGAGGCTGCTGTGCAAACATGCCCCCTACCAGGAATTGAAAAATGATGGCAATGGTATTAGTGGCAGCTGAAGTGACGCCTCCATTATTTAAATTGCTGCTGGGATAGAGATTTATTGAGTGTGTGGTTTAAAGCCTCCCACACAAGTTTCTTAGTATCGATTGTCTCAGCTACAGGACCTGGGTAATGCCTTTGAAAAATAATAGTGATTATAGTAAATACGTGTTCTTTCACTTACACTGGCTTAAACATGCCTTCATCTACCCAAACACATTTTTTAATTTTTTAATCACTTTACTTAGTGATTACTTTCTGTTTTCAATCGACTATCAATCCAGAGCTGTCTAGACCTAGTTGTTGACAAAATTCTGATTGGTTTATGTGGGATTTTAAAAAGTCAAAAATTAATTTTAAAAGTAACATCACTTTTTCTTGCAATATGACATTAATTCAAATCTCTTTGGAAGTTGATAGGGTCTTGCAGACTTGGTCTTATTCGATGCTTTGAAATCTCTGTTATGTTTTGATGGAGTCTCACTAACATTGAAGGACAAGTTTAAACGATGATTCACTTAATTTGATGTTATTTGAAATTATTCTTCTAGAATTCATGTTATGCATTTTTATTTGCATATATCTGTACAGACGGAGTCTTTTGAGTTTTTCTTGAATACAGTATATTTTGTTTAAATAGTGTTCCTGTCTCTATGAACGTCTTCATCTTGTGTTTGGTCTGCCTGCGACACTGTTAAATGTGCTGCTGCCCACCTCAAATAACCATGCGAATGGGATATTTAATGTCACTACAACTTTCTGCTCATATAAAGGTTAACTATATAAAAATTAGTGTTAGGGTCTTATTTATAGCCCAAAGTAATGGATAAAATGTCAGTCGCAAATTCTTAAAGGGCAACTAAACCTCGCTGTGATGCTATTTCTGCAGTTACGAAAAATGTTCATTTTACAATATAAAAACCTGTTTCATTATTACTATTTACATCAGTGGAACAAGAGTGATGTCAGCTTTCCGATGTCTTACAGAAACTGTGATGAAAACAGTTTTGTAATCAGACCGAACCCAACAGGACTCGACAAAGCAGACAAGTCACATGTCTATGTGATGTTTTCTGTGTCGGTGTGTGTGTGTGTGTGTGTGTGTTTGTGAGTGAGATGATGTTGAGTCGGTGACGCATCTTTCTCTCTGTTTGTCCCCTTTTCTCTCCTTGTAGTCACTGCATTAGTCAGATCTTGGAAAGTGTCAATCATATCCACCAGCATGATATTGTGCACAGGGACCTCAAGGTGAGTGGCTGCCCCGTTGCCATGACAATCACACACTCACACACCTCTGCTTGTGGCCATGGCAACACACAGATGGCTCTGGGTTGCTCTCTCTCTTTATTTCTATCTCTCTCTCTCTTTCTCTCTCTCTCTCTCTGCAGTTCTACTTTCAACCCTTTCATTTTACTCATTTTTTCCCTTTTTCACCCTCGACTCTTATCTGTGTCCACATTCGTCAACCTGTTAGTCCTTGACCACAGTCTTCTGTGTACGTGCACATGCATGTGTGTGCACGTGCAGCACGCAGATGGTGAGTCACGGTCACGTGGATAAGGTACGTCTCTCACCAGTGGCAGGGAAAAGACTAGACTAGAACAACACACAACATACGTGCATGAACAGCAGTCTCTGCTGTTGTGAAGGGGGGGTGTATTATCAGAGGGGAGTTGTAGGCATAGATGAACCTCAGGAGTTGCCAGGACAACCCAAGTGACATCACACCACCCACGAAGCAGGAGGGGAGGAGCTTGAGTTGTTCCAAATTGCTGATAGGCTCAAATAAAAAAAAAAAAGTGGAGGAAATGAAGGTTTTCTGCTTAACCTAGTTTCAGGTAATGATGATGATAATTCTGTTAAGAGATGAAACAATTACATGTACTGAAGTGCACTTATTCCAACAGGGGTTGTAATGTGTTATTAAAAATATCAAGGGATATCGAGAAATGTGTGGGTGGCTTTTTATATGCATGTTTGGACGCTTTGCATCAGAGAATAATGTGATTTTCCTCAAGCAATGCCTGTCTGATTTGTTAGCTCTTTACTCTGAGTGGGCTTTTACTGCAGCCCTTTATGTCCTGCTGCCCATACAGCGGCCATTTAGAACACTGCCACACACGCTGCCTCTCGCTAAAGTACACTTTCCATTTAGCATGCAGTCTGCAGTACTGCCTAAATGACTCCCAAGTGGTTTCTATGACTACGAACCCATGCCCATGTATGGCACTGTGGAGATTCTCAACCAGCCATTCTCTGCCTTCCTCCTCCGTCTCCTCCATCGCATTCTCACCCCCACACGAGCTGTTACGAACACATCAAAAATAAATATTTCCAAGAAGGCTCACTGAAGTCTGCCTGTCACTATCTGTCTCTCACTGTCTCGATCTCTTGTCCCACATTCTGCCTGTGTGTGTGTCTCCCTCAGCCTGAGAACCTGTTGTTGGCTAGTAAGATGAAGGGCGCTGCAGTGAAGCTGGCAGACTTTGGCCTAGCAATTGAAGTACAAGGAGACCAGCAGGCTTGGTTTGGTAAGGAAACACAAACAGTTGCAGACAGACTGTAATCAAGCATGTATGCCTCATTAGGTGTCTGTGTCCCTGAGTGAACTCTTAGGTTTCACTCTGAAGCATATTAACATTAACATATTCCCCTTTTATAAACCATGGAGTCAATACACATGTCCCCACTTGTGTTATAAACCTTTTTAAAACACCATAATTTAGGATGCTGACAGACATTAACCAATCCATGCCATGGTTGCTGTGTTTTAGCCAACAGCCAAGCTGCTAGCATTAAGGTGATTCTCAAGTTATAGACAGATGATTAATAGGCATTTGCTAGGGACTCGCCATAATCTGGCCTTACATTAATGTCTAGACGAACACTATAATATGAAATATTGACATAAATGTAAAATGCCACACACATCCTAGTTAAATGAAGACATCAGTTCATCATGTTGTCTGTTTTTCTAACAGGGTTTGCGGGCACTCCTGGCTATCTATCACCTGAAGTCTTGAGAAAGGATCCCTATGGCAAACCTGTGGACATATGGGCTTGTGGTAAGTTCATTTTGACGTGGGCAAAATTAACCTGTGGCACTCGGTATGCACACAGTGTAGAGAAGTAAACACTCAACTGTGACTGTGGTTTGTGTGTGAGTTTAATGGATGTGATATACTGTAGGACTTTGACTCCACATTAACAGCAGTGCCTATAGGAAGTGTAGCAAAAACAAAGCTAAGTAAAGTAAAATACAGAAATTTTGAGTCATGGTATACAGTGTTTAAAATAAATCTGCGTTACAAATTTAATTTTCAGGACACGTAGTAAGAGTTAAACTATGTAAGAGAAAAGATTTTAGTTTTTTGTTTGTTTTTTCTGATAAACCCATCTGTACTGGCTTTACTTTGGGAAGTTTAGAAATAAAATCTTCAGCACAAGGACTTAAAACAATGCCAAAATTTCATAGAAGTGACATTTGAGATCAACAAGCAGGTAAACTAGTCACAGTGTTGAGTTCAAAGTTTCATATAAAGGGAGAATTTAGCAGACTTGGTGCAAGTAACAATGAGTTCTGGCTGCTTCCTTTATCTTATAGCTAAGGGTTCATTATCCAAAAACAATTTTGCACCTTTTATTACAGTAAAAAAATTAAAAGTTTAAAAAAACATTTTTGGAATTGGGATTTATATAAGTTAATATTTTTGTATTTAAATAAAAGTTAGTTAGTTTTTATAGTATCAAGATGTTCCCTCTTTTCTCCCTTGTTTCCCTTTCTGCCAGGTGTTATCCTCTACATCTTGTTAGTGGGATATCCTCCATTCTGGGATGAAGACCAGCACAAACTCTATCAGCAAATCAAAGCTGGGGCATATGATGTAAGTGTGCAAATGTGTGAGGTCTGTTAGTGTAAAGGGTGCAGTGCGGGTATTTGCTAAGCAGTTTTTAAACATTTAGTAGTGTCCAATTGAGAGTTGGTTCAAAGCTATTGATCCTGTCCAGGCATCCCTGACGCATTGCAGAGGGGTGTGTGTGAGAGACAGAATCTGAGAAGGGGCATCCTCCTATTTCAGCCTCTGGATAATCTAGTCAGCCTGTAGTTTACTGACGGAGCGATATGGTCTGAGGCAGTCAGTAGAAACAAATTTCACCTTCAAATTTAAATAAGAATAAATGACAGAGAGGAAAACACCTGTTCTTTTTATCCAAAATGTGTGCTTGCCAAATATTTTTATAAATTAACTAAAGACTTGGAGTCCAGATGGCATAGATTATTCAAAGTGCTGCAAATAAAACCCACTCTTCAGAAAACAGACACAGTTTTTTTAGTCATATTTCTTTAACTTTCTTTAACTGTCACTTTTTGCCATTTTCCTAAGTTTCCATCCCCAGAGTGGGACACAGTGACTCCAGAGGCAAAGAACCTGATCAACCAGATGTTGACCATCAACCCAGCCAAGAGAATCACTGCTGAGCAAGCCCTGAAACACCCATGGGTCTGCGTAAGTAATCTCTCACTCGCGTAAAGAGGATTATCGAAATTACATAAGACAGTATTGATTAGACTGTAAACTGATCCTGTTATAAAAACAGGCGCAATCATTTTTTTTTTTATCTTCTTCTTTCAGCACCGTTCCACAGTGGCCTCTATGATGCACAGACAGGAAACTGTTGAGTGTCTCCGCAAGTTCAACGCTCGCCGAAAACTCAAGGTACCCATCATAAATCTTATGGTGATAGTGACCATAATTGGTAAAGGCGAATGGAGAGCTGTGGGTTTCAGCACCAAACACTAATGTCTCCTCCATGACTTGTTTCCAAGCAACTGAAAACGTTGCCGTCAGCACCACAGTACGCCTACATTTCAATTTATCCAGCTGGACAGTAGAAAAGATATGCAACTAATAATGGGTGTTTTTTGATCTCGGTTGATTTCTTTTTTTTTTTTTTTCCCCAAACTCGAGCATTAGGTGAATTTTGCAATATGTGTGGAAGTGATGTTGCGTAAGCAGAATTTTGATAGGAAATGACCGAAAACAGACCAGTTTGTACAGTCCTTATTGCAGAGTTTTTGGAGATAAAACCAAAGAGGATCATTACACTAAACATAACCTAATTCCTGGTCAGAGTCTTATGAAAGTAGTGACGCATACATCCACATCCGGCACATTCTGACACATTTGATTCAATTTAGAATGATGATGATTAGAATGAGGCTCTAGAAATCGCATGTCAAAATAACGTTGTTTTAAAAAAAGTCATTTAAACTTGTCCTAAATTTAAATAGTTTACAATCTGTAGACTTAAGCAAATCTGAGTCAGATCGTCATCTGCTGGCCTATCTTCTTTATGTAGGAAATGTTAATAATGCATCTTTTAAATCATTTCATATTTGCAGACTACAAAGAAATGAGATTTGACCAGCTCTTGCTGCTTCAATTCAAAATGGGAGATAAAATATTTTGTTATGTTCTTCTAAATGTCTGTTCAGTAAGAGAAAAGTCCTTGCATTCATCAAGCCTCCCTCACTCTTTTCTTCTCCTTCCTCCTCTCCTCCAGGGAGCCATTCTCACCACCATGCTGGTGTCCAGAAACTTCTCAGGTGGGTGTGCCCTTAGCCCTCAGCCTCCCACGCAGCAGAACATGCAGAGGGAGAGGAGAAAGGAGAGTGGATAGAGTCCACTGTGCCTCTTTGAACCCCCTCATCTCACGCACACAACAAATACACACACACACACACACACACTGTTTCTTTTCTTCCTTTCTTTTTTATTACAGCACACATTTTACTTGCTCTAATACACTACGCTGAATTGAAACAATACATTCTCTGCAGAACACATTGTCAATGATAGATTCTTTTAAATTAATTTTATTCCATTGTGAGCAGAAATGAGTAACTGATATTCTGTCTTATATTAGATTTTATGTGAGTGCCAGTTTTGTCTTTGTCTATGCTAATGTATATCTCCCTGTGTGTCTGTGTGTGTGTGTGCGTGCGTGCGTGTGTGTGTCCCTTTGCTCTGCTGCCTGTGGAGCCTTTATATACGTATGTTTGAGAAAGAAACATAGTCACTTTAAAGAGACTTAAATGTTGGGGCAGGTGTAGTATTATTAAAATATGCACTGTTAAGATTCTGTGTTTTTAATCCTCATTTGCTGAGAGTGACTTGTTTTTGTTGAATCCTTGTTCTCAGCCCTAAAGTAAATGGCCAGTCAATGACTAATAACTTCAACCTTGGGCCTAGGAAACCACAGGTGTGCATGTCTTTGCTGCAGTTCATCACTGTCTCTCACTCAGGGATACAGCTGGGCTCCAGCTTCGCACCTCCTGTAGCTTTCTAGGCCCCTGTTTGAACAATGTGAGCTAGACCTGCCTAATTTACATAGCCCCTCCCAACTGTAGCATTTCTGTCCAATAGTGGGCCGGCAGCATACCAACTCTGCTGCTGCCGCCTCCTCCACCGCCACACTGGCTCAGGAAGGTACGTCCCAGAGACACGCCCATCCACTTCCTCTCCACATATGCCCACTTTGAGTCCTAGTTCTGGGTGGGCCCTGATCACCACCCTGAAATCTTGCATGCGACCTCTGCCAGCATCGGTCATCAACATTCACACACACCAACACGCATGCATACTCACACATGTTTTGTTATGTTATTCTGGGTGTGTGTTGGCTTTGCTGTAATGCGAAGCCATCAGACTTTATGCACACAGTCATAAACATCAGCCTCATTTAAAGGTAATTGATTTGGTTAAGAACTTAAGAGGGTTGTTTACATCTACACCTCACCGCCACTCAGCTTCAACATCGTAACCCTCCCCATTTCATCCCCTAGTTTATTCATGTCATTACACATAACAGGCTCCATACTGACTTCTAGCTGACCCCATACACCTCTGTGCTCTCCAGGCTGCCAGGAGGGGCATAGGGTGATGTGGGCCAGGGGATGAGGAGAGGCATGTATCCTGGGGGCGGGAACTGACACTGCAGGGGGCTGGCAAGAGCTGGGTTGGCGTGCTGCCATCGTCTGACCTGGGTTTGGTGGGAGGGACAAAGAAGGGCAGAGGGGTTCATACCAGAGATTGTATATAAGAAATGCACAAAGTAACTGAGTAACTCTAGTAATATGGATTTATGGAACGTATAAATCCAAATGTTGTACCAGAGAGTTAGTGGATTTGAGTGATTATGACAGTGGCATGTAAAGTGCTTCAAGAGTTCAGACTTCAGTCAGGTTTGCAGCTTCTTAACTTAAGGTTAGATGCCCTCCCCAATCAAACGTACTCGATGCTGAAATAGTGTTTTTAGCTTAAGGTACTTGGTGAAACAAAAGCCTTTTCCTGCCTCATGAAAATAAAAACCTGCATGTTGATTAGAACACTGAAGAATTAATAGATGGTCAATTTTTGGGATATAACGTGCACAATTTTTAAATCTTAAATTTAATTTTACAAGGTAATTAATGCAATTAACACACCAATTGTTACAGCCCAGAAACAAATATATAAACTACAGCTGCCTCTTAATACCACAGGTTTGAAGCATTAAATAATTATAGATTAATTTTCTCCTACATTTATCCTTGTGAAAAGTAACTTTAACTAACCCAAGTCTCCAACACTTGCTCGATTTATTTCTTATATACAATCTTTGGTACAGGGATGGAGGACAGGAGAGCTGCTTGTGTCACTTTACCTAAGCTAACTGTGAAGGTTCTGTTTAGCCACAAGGCATTCCTCCTCTCTTTTAGCCCTCTTGAAGTAATTTTAGTGCTTTCAAAAGAAAATTCCACGCTACAATTTTGCCTAAAGTGGGAGCAAATGTGCTGCCACTTTGACAGAATTCCTGCCACGGACATTTTGGAAGTACCAAAATAGGCTAAGCCCTTGAGGAGTGGGTGGCGAAGGTCGACGATTCCGATGGTGGCTCCATGGATCTATTATTTGAGAAATGGTGTAGAGCACATTGGATTCTCCGTCGCCTTTTTAGACAAGAGAACCTTCTTTGCTCTGCATTGTAGCAGTCTCACAGGACCTGCGTGTAGGCAGGATAAAGGAAAACGTATGAAAGGCGAGGTAACCTGCTGTGTGTGTGATTGGTGCGCAGAGAATCAGGGTGTTTGTGGTGGTTTGACTGTCAGCTAGAGCCCTCCAAAAGCGGGCTTCCTCAGTGAAACTGGACCAAGTTGCCTGTTTGTAAGTTTTTGTCATTACTGTGTTTTGACACTGTTACTCTAAACTGGACTCTTCAGCTCTTCTCCTTTTTAATTGCCCTTTTTGGTCCTATGATGATAATGAATATGGTGATGATGATAATAATATTGCTCTTCAGCCAAAACAAATCCTGGCACTTATTACTGTAACTGCTTCCCTGCACCCTTCTGTAGAGTATGGCTGAGACAAGGCTTGGCAGTTTGCTCATGATTTTTCCTTTTTTATTTACTTACAGCAGAATTTGACAGAAAGTGTGCGTTTGAAGCATTTCTGACTGTTTGCAGATGGATGTCTTTTTTTTTTGTTTTGTTTTGACTTTTTTCTGCCTTGCTGTGTTCTGCATGTGGGTGTTACTGTGTGATTTAATCCTATGGAATGTTCTGGGGGGGATGCACCTTCAATTGCTTTCTAGTATGTCACAGGCTGTCATCAACGCGGCAGCTCGACATTGATGGAGCTGTCATGTTGCTTGAACAGTGCGGCCCTCCCTGCAGTAGCTCATCCTGACTTTATCCATGTGATGTCACACTTGTGATCATGCTCTTGGGTGGAGGAGGAGGAGGAGGAGGGAGGGCCTTACATAGAGAGCATTTGAATGTGGTGGAGGGATTCTATCACAGATTTCAAACTGATGGCTGACTGATCTTAAACTTGGCTTAGGAGATAAAACAGATGCTTGTGCTCTGATCAACTGGCTCTTCTTTCCCTGGTTGTGGAATGAAATCGTATCCTTTTTGTTTCAGAATTTTGATTTAAATTTTTTTATATTACCTGTGGATGCTGCATGGCCAGGCCAGGTAGAACCTTCTCATCAATGCAACAGCTGAGATTAGGAGCATGAGTTGTCTTGTGATATTGTCTCTGCTGTAAATGCTGTGCCCCTTACTTTACTCTCTCACACTGTGATACACATTCTCTGTGATCTACGTTCTCTGTCAACCCTCTCCTCCCCTGTACCTCCCTCCCCATTTCTTTTTAAAAGGTAAGGAAAAAAAGACATTTTGATTTGGACCGTATGTGTGTTTCAGTAGAAAATGAAAGAAAAGGAAGCAACAGCGAGTTGAAAGCTTTAGACTGAGAGGAAAAGTGACTAGGCCCTTAACGGAAATCAATGATTTACATTAACCTAGCTCATCGTTGTCAGGCCTGGCGGCAGTTTGAGTCTGACCATCACTCTCTTTTTACATCTGCTGGTGTCTTCCAGACAGGAAATGGATTGAGGAAGTTAACTTTGCTCTCAGGTTTCTCTTTTATTCCCAGATGGCAGTGAATTGATTATGATGCACATGGGTGTTTGCAGAGTAGCACTCTGTAGACAAGAGCAAAAGAAATGTCCATAAAAACCAATAAATGCATGTTTTTCTCAGCAATTTGAAGAAGCAATCTGTTTCAAAGCTTCAGGGTCGGGGGTTTCATAGATTCAAAGTGGGACACGTTTTTGTTGATCTTCTACGTAACTGAATTTGCAATTAACAGTAAATTTCACCTTTTCACACACCTCTCTTTTCTATCCTTTCTTCCAGCTTGCAAAAGTTTACTGAACAAGAAGTCAGATTCTGCTAAGGTAAGGTCATCTCATTTCCGCTCTGTCCTCCTTTCTTCCTCACCACTGTGTCCCATGTGTCCTTTGCTAACAGAAGCCCTCTTTTTAACCTAACATCCTTTTTCTTTACCCACTTTCCGGACTCGCTATGTTTTCCTTCCCTGTATTTCTTATTCAAGGTAATATAATGTTTATCCATTCATAGATTTTTTTTTTTTGGGGTCAAAGACCAGAGATTATTTTTTATCAAGAACAAAAACAGAACAAAAACTTTTAAAATAAACAGATGTGCTTTAATTTCGTATATTTTAGATGTATTTTTACATTGTTTTAATTAACTAAACTTGCTAGTTATGCTATTCTTTACTATTTCTATTCTAAACATTTTAGTCAATTTTATCAATCATTCACAAACAACTGTCTTGTCTATTGCTTTGCATAGTTTTATAATGTGTTTACAGAGCACACAAGCACATATCCTACATTTCAGGGGTACAGTATGAATCAAATTGTTTAGGGCCACTGCTGATAGGTTAGGTACAATGATGTCACCAGCTCATTTATCGGCTGGATGTTCTCCAGCTAACACTCTGAAGGAAGGCTGGGTTTCTAGTTTGGAAACCAACCAAGTAAAGTTTCTGCTTTTATATACATGCAAACATGTACATTGCATACAAAAGTCAAATTTTTCATATGTCTGCTGGATGTTTTTTTTTATTAGGTTAATTGTTGGCCTCACCAGAAATGTGTAGCTCTTTCACTGTGCTGTTTTCATCGTTCTCTTGAACTGTTGAGCATCACTCTCTCCCTGCCCCCCTTCCTCTCTTACTTCTCTGCCCCAGGGGTCTCTCTTTGCAGATAAGTGGCAGAGGCATAGAGGGTTAGTGAGGCAGTAAAAAGGATGATCTAGAGGCTGTTTTGTGGCACTCACTCGCTCATTTACCCTGTTAGCTCTTAACAGTATGGGAACCACAACCACAACATTAGCTCCAACCCCTGAAAGGTGTCAAATGCATCTCTGTGTGTTGGAGTGTGTTACCTACCATGTGTGTTCACTTTGCGTCTCTGCGTTCTCGTCCCAGCCGTCCACCAACAACAGTAAGAACAGTATAGTGAGCGCCATCAATGCCCTGAAAGACACCAACATGGCAGCCAACGCCCAGATGGTACAGTAGGCCGCCGTAGTGTTGGTGCCGTCGCTTCACCTCCCTTCCACCCAGTAGTTTCGTAGTAGTTGGTCGTGCCTCATCATCCATTGTCATAGCAACTGCTTGTCATCTTTCATCTCCCGTCAGAGACATTGCAACGGTGACATCCCAGCAATCCTCATCCTCTGACCCTTGTATGTCACCAAGGTGCAGATGTGTTCCTGATTATGAAATCAGACATTAGCATTTCAAAAGAAATTAAAAACGTTGCAATTTATTTTTCTTTTTAAATCTCAGGCAGCACATGTGCACCTTCTAGATTTCCATGTAGCATGACCTTCAGGATTATGCACTTCCAGAGTGTCAGCACAGGAAACTGTGGAGTCTTGATTTTTCATAATTACACCTGTTAATGTCTAAGTCTAAGCTTAGTCTCATTGTGTAATGACCTGTGTGTGTTTTTAATGTAAATGATTGCACTAATGAATCTTAGGTTTCTAACTAAAGTCAGTGCATCCATCCAACCATCCATACTATCGTCTCCCTTACTTACTTTGTGTGTTTGCTTTAGTCCTACCAACATTCTTACTCCTTCTAATGCTCATCTTCATTTTTGCCATCGTTAACAACCACACATTCTTGACGTGCCGTTTGACTTTTATTGTTTTCCACAAATCGAATAGCAGCATGTCGCAGTAATAAAATGCTTTACTAGCACATTTTAAGCATGCCATCTTGTAGCAGTGTAGTTAGGTCATAATTGTGCTTCTCAATGGGTTCGGCTGGTCCCCAAGTAGTCCACAGGTGTGGTTGTTGTTTTGATTAAAAAACAAAAACAACATGAAGACGCCTGTGTGGTGTCTGGCAAAACTGGAAATTGTATAGACTGTGAACTAGAAAAAACTACAGTGGTTGCATAGGAAAAACCATTCCACAAAATTTAAATTTAAATTAATCGACCTAACAGGGATCCAATCTGAACTAAAGAACAACAACCTTTAAGGGTACTGTTTACGACTTACTGTCGTTTTGTCTTTCATCACACAATGCTTGCTGCTTGTGCTATCTGGCAACACGTATGACACGACTGGGCCACGTGCTCTGAGTGAGGGACACGACAAACTATTCTATTATACTATTACTACTATTAGATCTTATGACATATTCTGTGATTGTAGGCGACTTTAACATAAACCAGGGTTTCCTTCACTCCTCAATAATAAACTATGCAAACCTGTCTCTTAATTAGGCTGTGACCTAATAAAGCTTTTGAGTACAGAGTAACACTGTGACCTACGGTTTGAAGTGTAATTCCCATTTCCAAAAAAATAATATAATAATAATTTAGTATTCAGTATTTAAGAAGGGAATTGCACTGACATTTTTTTTTCTAGGACATTGAAGGCATCACTGGCTTTACTTTGTCTGTGGATGGTACAGTAAGTGCAGCTTTCCTGACTGAGCAAGTTAGGGTGGAGCATATTTGTGAGCGTCCAAACTGGTATATGCTCTGTTTGCCCTATTGGGTGTTAACTATAAGAACAGGTTTTAAACAAACATCAGGTAAAGGGCTACATTGAAGTGATTGGTGTGCTGAATTTAGATACCTCTGGTCTGTTGTTATTTATTTCAGTTTTGCTGAATTTATGCTGAATATTATGTAAATGAAAAAATGTTCTAAAACTAAGATCAATTTAATCGGTATATTTTACTAATTTTTACTGTTACGTTTTGCAAACCATACATGGAGCCAAGAGAACACCTTAAATAAAAGGGCCCCGGTTGAAGCCATGTTGAGAGGCACTGATTTTTGATCATTTGGGCTCTAATTGTTGTCATCTGCATGGCAGGAATCGCAGAGCACTGTGGTGCACAATCCTCCTGATGGAGTGAAGGTGAGCATGAATGCCAGAAAGTGCCTCGCCCAGTTCTTTAATTCTCAGGCCTGTCGGACTAGATCCAGGCTTTGTTGTTTGCTTTTATGTATTTATTTTTCGTGATGTGTTTCATCTGCCTGCACTACAGGGATCCACGGAGAGCAACGCCACCAACGAAGAGGAAGAAATGAAAGGTAGGAAAGGTACTCGACTGATTTATTTCCTTTTTCCTGTTCTTATCCGCTCTCTCTTTCTGTCTCCTATCTACTGAAGTGTGTGTTTTGGACTGTAGTGCGTGGCGGTGGTGCGAAGATACAGCGCACGTCGCTCACAGTTTTGACTGTGAGCCTGTGGAATGTGTATGTGTGTATTTACCGTGTGTCTGGCTGCGTTTTGTGTGTGTGTTCTAGCGGACAGTACGGCGCTGAGTCAGAGCAGCGCCACAGAGGAGATGCCCCCACTTCTGCCCTCACCTCAAAGCTCACCTGCCAGTAAGTTTACCCATGGCAACCCCCAGCTGTTTGGTTGCCCCTGGCAAGGACCTCTAACCTCACCCTCACTCCCCCTGGCTTTTTGTACTGGCAATGACGTCTTACATCTTTGAGCTCCTTCACTCTGATCCACCAAGCTTTTTTTGAGGGTTCCCACTGGGTTTCATGCATATTAAAAAAATAAAGCAATGTAACATTATTGGCAATAGGAAGAGAAGAATTCTGGTTTATTCTAACCAAGGTGCAGAGTCTTTCAATTTAGATTCAGATACAGTGTGACATATTTGAAGATTATTAGGATTTGTTTGTACAGACATGCCATCTGCCATATTACTGTTAATGATACTGGATGCATTTTCAAGAGATATTTGGACCTACCAATTACTACACCCTAGAAGTAAAATATCCAAATAAGCAGTTTTACACTGTTCAAACGTCTGTCCAGACTAATGAAACCTGGTCAACCATTCCACATCAGCAATGCTAACTCTATTACTCATTCTGACTACATTCACTTCTAGTAACTAGTTTTGAATCAACTGTCAACTGTAATGATGGATTCATGTGTCACAGGCATGTAGTCAGACACTGATTTAATTTAGTTCCACCACAATTAAGTGTTTTACTCAATGCTGAAACCAGCCAAAAATGCTATACAATAATTGGTTTGCTAATCAATTAAAATACACGTTAGAGAATATGTGCTACTTACAATGAGCTAATTTCATGCTTTGCTTCAGCTCTGAATCCTATATTTCCCAAATTAAAATTGGTCTACCTCACTGTTTTACAAGGAAAATCAGCAATCATATTCAGCGGTCCATAAGTAGTCTAACTCTCTGTAATAAACCAGAATCTTCCTTTACAAGGATGCACCTGCACACTAATTGCACACAGTTACCCCTGCTGTGTGTTTGTGTGTGTATGTAAACTGTGTGCTCACTGGGGCAGAGCGAGGCTACACCTTAACCACCTCAGTTCACTGTACTCAGCACAAATTAAAAAATGAAAAAACAAACACAGGGGCTTGAGTTTTCCTGGTCACAGAGGAGCCTTAATTCTGAAAAGTAAAAAAAAAATGTCCCCTGAAAATCTATCATCAGGGCCACTGTGGGAGCCCTGAAATGCAAGTGTGTGTTTGCGGTAGTGAGTGTGTGTGTGTCCNCGGGGGGAGGGGGTTCTTGGTGATCACAGCATCTTTTCCCTTGTCCTACTAATGTGACCACTCCAAATGGAGGGAGCCTTGAGTACTTTCCAGCTGTGAGTCTTGCAGTGTGTCCTGAACGACGAGTCTCACAGTCGTACCACACAGTGGAACCAAAGACACAATAAAGCATCACGTTTGTGTGTGTGTGTGTGTGTGTGTGTGTGTGTCCACGTTAACACAAGTTTGTTATGACCCTGTACTGTCAGGTTCTCCAATCCCTGCTCATAATATCTGTTGTTTCTCTTGAGGTGTGTTCACATTTGACGTCTGCCTCCTTTGATTTAACAAAAAAAAGTAAATGCTGCATCTTTTTATTTAGTTTGTTTGTTAAGTCTGGATATTGTTAAATTGGCTCAAGAAGTTTTTTGATCATAATAAACAACAGGGAAAAGGAGCAACCAAAATTACTCTTTGGTCAGTGCAAGGCAGTAAATATGTTATAATTAAGAATTGACCATGGGAAGGAAATACTGCCAAATACGCATGACCTTTTGACCTCTAAGGCCTAATACATTTAGACAAATTATTGAGGAGATATTTAAATTACTGTGGGAAAAAAACCATTGCCCAGCTGAGTGCCTCACTCAATCATACATTGCAAGTTTCCCATTTCTGGCATTCAAATGTTGTGAATGTCAAACAAACTGCCAAATGTGTTTTGTTTTTTTTAGGTGGGAGGGGGTTGTGTGTGTGTTTTTTATTCTAAACCACACATGACAAGTGTGACCACACCCACCCATAAACACACTGATGTATCCTTTCGAAATGTTCCTTTCTCTTCAACTCTTCACCTTTTGTCCTGCACCTGCTGTTCTTCTGAGACAGCCGTGCTGAAAAGGGCAGCCTGTCTCCTTTTCCCCTCCCCTCCTTTTTCCACACACTCTCCTCTTCTACTCCCTTCCTTCATTCCAGAACATCCTTCCTTGCCGTGTAGGCCTAACATAAGCTAATTAAAAACAAAGGCTTGGGTCCTTTCATTGCTGGGTGCTGCAGTTCATCACAGGGAGCATTGTTATTGTATGAGCAGTCAGTCAGAATTCAGTACATAGATGTGATCAGAACACAACATTCAAATGACACACACAACGCACAGATTCACTGTCAGAGCTCGACTGATTCTGCCTCCATCCTTTTGCTCATGCTGCCTGCATACTTAACATGTTTGTGATAAATCCACTGTTCATTTTTCTCCTCACTCTTTTGCCTGAACTAACATGTACTAAAGACACCACAGCAGTCTGTAGTGTCTTGTCCAGCTTTAACTGCATGAGGTGTGTGGGTGCATGTCTGTGTGGGGATAATCACCAGTGCATCTTGTTCTCACTCCACCATGTTGTTTCTGTTTGTTGACCATCCATTGTGTGTTTCAGTTCCACCGCATGACGTAAAGCGCATGGCATGGAACAGCACAGGCAACAGCTCCTGCCCCGAGTCTGAGCTCTCTCAGTCCTCCATGCCTGCCGCTCCACTAGGGAGCAACACTGTCGCTGCTAAAAGCAACACTAAGCAGAGTAAGATCACGTTTGGACTAACTGACACCAGTTTTCTCTTCTCCTCTCTATCTGCTCTAGTTTGTTTGCACTCTAACACTTTATGTTTCTGAGCTGACCAGAGCAGGCGCATACTAACATCCAACCTAACAAGTCATTTAATGAACGGAGGAATATGAGAAAAGGGAAATAGTTCCTTTTTTTTTCAGCTGATCCTTTTCTGGATCTAGACATTTGGGAGTGAAGCCTTTTTGTTGACACACAAGTTTAAAAATATTTTATATGACAATGGAACCAACAGTGGTTGTAAAACACAAATTATATATATTTATGTATATACCAATTTATTTACTTTAGGTTTCCATGCATATGCAAATGAAGTGGAAGACAATGTTAAATGCGTGACACGGCTCTTTGGGAAATTGAGTGACGTGCCGCGTGTAGGTGTGATTGGCAAGCAGGAAAATGCTACAAGTCAGTTTGATGTTTTTCTCCTTAACAGATTAAATATTTCAATCCAAAAGGTACCATTGTATTAAACAATCACATTACACCATGTATTGGCAAAAGAAAATGGCTGGACTGATCCAAAAGGCATTAACAGTGTGCTTCCCAGATGCGTGTTCATGGTTCATACAGTTTTGACTCTTCCATCTCCAAGACCACGGGCTAAAATGCATCTCCATTAAGAACCCCACCATGCCATACTGACAGTTCCAAGCAGCCATTGACTGATTTTTCTCCTGGCTTCTCTCTGACAAACTAACAACAATCACAACACGTGTAATTTCTAAAAATGCTAACCCTTGGGCCTGTTGTTCAGTCATTTTTTTAGTTTTTATATTGGAATTTTATTTTGTCAACTTTCATTTGTCAGAGTCATGCATTTTTAAATTGTCAAAGAAGTCATTGTAGTGGTCTCTAATCTGAAGAATGAAGTCATTTGGAACAAGAACTGGATCTGGAAAAGATCTCATTCAGCAAATGTTGATCAAAGATCTTATTTGTTTTGCCTCTTTTGGAGATCGTTTCCTAAGATGAAAAGTTGGCCACGCTCGTTCTGTGTAAACCATAAAAAGAGGCTCAAGTCTTATACACATCACTGGTTTTCCCAGGGTCACAGACATTTAGCTGAAAACCCTGAATCAAGCTGCTCAAAGCGACAGCTTCACCAGCAAATTCTCTGTTTTTGTTTACAAAGCAGTTTGGATGTGTTCACACGACAGAGGGCTGCATTTGGTCAATTTCTTGTTGTTGAGGGTGAGGAGCACAGTGACAGACTGGGTCAGGTTGCAGTGAGGGAGTTGTTGTGGTCCGGTTGATGAGGTTAAGGAGGAGCGTGGAGCTGCAGCAGCAGAGGGAGAGAGCCCTAGGGAAGGCAAGAGCTGAGGCGATGAGAGAAAATGTCATCAAGCTAAACCCACCACCCGGTCAACTCTCACCTTCGTCAGCGCTCGCAGTCACTCACCAGCCTTCTGTGTCTTGTCCTCTCTGTAGCCCGTAAACAGGAAATCATCAAGATAACAGAGCAGCTGATTGAGGCCGTCAACAATGGAGATTTTGAAGCTTACACGTGAGTCTGCTAGATTTTTTTTTTTGGTCTCTACAACTCATCCAGACTTAAGGTGTTCCTTATTTGTCTCTCACACTCGACCTCTCCGTTCACAGGAGGATTTGTGATCCTGGTCTCACCTCTTTCGAACCCGAGGCTCTGGGGAACCTGGTGGAGGGCATGGACTTTCACAAGTTCTACTTTGACAACTGTGAGTTGTTTTTCTTCTATTTTTGTTTGTTTTTTTCTTTCCCTCCATCCCCAATGCTACGTAGCCTCACCACTTGTTAGAGGGCCAACAAAAAATCATAGCAGATTAAAAGCCAGCTTAAAAGAAGTACGGTGCAGAAAGGTGAAGTACAGGTTAATTCATGTTAACATCAAAATAGACCAGATAAAATGCTCTGTATACCTACATGACAACTCTCCTGGTTCCTTTAAATACCGTTCCCCACCTAATAATACCTGAAAGTGCAGCGAACAGTTCTTGTTGTCACCTTGTGTTCTCTCCAGTGCTGAGCAAGAATGACAAGCCGGTGCACACCACCCTTCTCAACCCACACGTGCACCTGATTGGTGAGGATGCAGCGTGCATCGCCTACATCCGACTCACACAGTTTGTGGACTCCATGGGCCACCCTCGCTCTAGCCAATCAGAGGAGACCAGGGTGTGGCATCGCCGCGATGGCAAGTGGCTCAACGTTCACTTCCACTGCTCAGGAGCACCTGCTGCACCACTACAGTGATCAGGTATTTAGGTCACAAACGCGCACACACACACACACACACACACACACACACACACAAGCCCTAACAAAAGGGCCGTTTAACACAAGTATAAGAGGAAAATGAATTTTAAATATAATGTATATTTTTTTATTTTTTTATTTTTTTTTAATTTTTAAACATATGACTCTGTGGAAACTGGCATGTTTTTTTTCCAGTGGTCCAACTGAAATGTGTGTTTTTGGTCTTGGAAATTCAATGAAAGGTCATTCTTAAAAATTCAAACGTTCCCAAAAATGATGACTAAAAATGCACAAATCTCCCTTGAGATATCTTGTATGTGCTATTTTATGCTTAAAATGCAGTTGTTTTTTGTTTCTTTTGTACGTTACCATTGGTCAAAAACAGCATACTAATAGTTTTCTGAAAAAGTTTTAACCAACCTCTTCTGCCCTCCCCAACCCTCATGCCCCTACAGTGGTCCTGAGCCTCCAGTCTACTGGAGTGTGTGTTTTGGGGGGCAGTTTTTTTCAGCAAGCGTGTTTAAGAGGCGCGTCCTCTTCGTGGATTGGCTAGTGCCAGGAGCCCGGCCGGGCAAGAACGCATCCCTCTCCACGATACCAACCAATCCTGTCCCTCCTTTGACCTGCTGGGGGCCGGCTGAACACAAGACTCCGCCCCCATGGGATGATGCATGCATCTGGCGCCTGATTGGAGGGTGCGTCTTTGCCCTCTATTCCTCCCCTGGCAGCCATCTTTTTTCTGCCCGTGCAAGATGAGACGTCCTGGGGGAGGAGGGGGTTTACAGTTGAACTTGTGACAGTTTATGAGTATGAGTTATGAATATACTGTGTAAATTATGACTAGATGTACCAGAAACCACCAAAACCCAACCAAGCATTTATATTCACTGTCTAAAAGGGAGGAACAGGGAGGCGTGTGTGAAGTTAGCAGCTGAGATTTTGGACACATTTTTGGCATTATAGGGTTTAACGGGGGTAAGAAGTGTTGTGCTCGTTATCCAGACATTGACTTAAAACCGTAGGGAGACTTTCCCCAACTGAATTAAAGAGGGAAAAACGTCAAGTGTGCTCAGTCAAAGACCTTAATGATGAGAGAAACTTGATATCAAAACCATGAAGCACCAAAGTGTAGAACTTTAGGCTTTTTTCCTGTGTTTACGTTTGTGTGCTTGTTTCCTATTGGAAAGTCAGCCGTGTCATTGTGGGTCACGGAAGTGCGGGTGTTCATCTGACTTGATGTTGTGTGTTCTGTTCCATTTTATAGTGTCTTGTCCTCTGGTTTGTTTGTTTTTTTCTCCCCGTTGTTGTTCCTGTGAGTACTCCGAGCCTCCTTTTCTTTGTCTGACGTTTGAGGCTCCTTTTTAAAAGTGTTTTTAAAAAGAGGGATTTTACTGTGCAAGTTTAACGTTGACATGCTTGTTCTGTTGTGTCCGTATGCATCCAAGGGAGAGTGTGTGTCAGCAAATACATGGGTGTTTTTGCATATTTGCTAATGGCCTCTTCCTCTCTGTCAGACCCTTCCATTATCTTTCCCTCCTTTCCTTTATTAACCATTCCCTCTTTATGCCCTCTCCTCTCTTTTCCTTTCCTTTTTTTGTGCTTTTCTCTGCTTTCTACAAAGGCCTGGTTTGTTTATAATCACTGTGTAAATACAGTGTATGTATAGGTATATGTAGAAAAGTGTAATATATGTACATGTATCTAAGAGACATCCATCCTGTGCATCAGATTATAGGAAACACTCCCAGTGTCCCCTTGTGGGACTACACATAGTTTTTAGGGCTTTAATCTTTAATTTGTGAACATCCTTCTCCTTTAAAGACTTCCTGCAAATATGGCAGCTCTTACGTTGCCTGGTTCCAGTCCCATGGCCATAAGACTGTTTTGAGGATGGAGAGTAAATGGAAAAAAACAGGATAAAATACCTTTTAACCCAAAATTCTTCTTCTTTTTTAACATTGACATGCTTCATTTGTTTTGTTCAAACCACATCCCACAATGCTGTGAACAGTCTCTTCATATCACTCACACTCACACACTCACGCCTGGTGGTGTGTCTCAGCTCTGTAACATATCTGCACCACTACTGTGCTACCAGGGCGCCACCTTTGCTGTCCTGCTTCAATCGTCCTCGTCCATCAGAGCCCCCTGGTGTTAAACTGAGTCCCTGCTATGGAAATGTTTGGTTGTTCCTCTCTGTTGTTTCTCTGGTCCTGTGTTACTGTTTTCTTTTATAATATTTCTTTCCTCGTTGTTGTCGTCAATGTTGCCGTTAACTTGTCTTTTGGTAATTTGCCGATCTGCCAAGCTGGAGTTCTGCACTCTCCCTCACACAGAGAGAAAAAAAAGGGAAAAGAGAGGGAGGAAGTAAAGACTACACAAAATCCAGATTGAACGGCTTGATCAGAACGAAATAATAATAATAATAAAAAATGTAATCTACCCTTGGTGGTTTTAAATAGTGCCTGCTCAGTTGAGAGGTGTTTCAGAAGCCAGAGAGAGTGAGTGGGTGTGGGTGTGCAGGTTTTTGTGACCTACACTGTTCAACCAGAGCGGGAGAACTAGTTATATGCATGTTTCAGTTACGCATTTCTACCATGTACCTACCTGAATAAGGATGGAGTCTAGTGTTAATATATGATATTTGCATCTTTTGAAATAAGAATTTCCTCCATCCAGAATGTTGAATAGGTGACATGAAAAAAAACATGATTAAAAAAAATTAAAAACGTAAAAGAAAAAAAAAACTGATTCAGGAGCCATAGCTTGGTATGAGGCCCTTGATGTTAGCGTTTTTCCCTGCGTTGTAATGATATACTATTGGGCTGCGCTTTCTCCCCCAGCCTTCACATGGATGCTGGTGTTTTTTTGCATGATCATGATGTACAATGAAATACAACCATGAATTGACGACTATCAAGTGTTTGTCTGAGTGTTAGTTGGTCTTCATCATAGCTTTGTTATTCTTCAAAACTTGGATCTTGAAAGTATTTAATAAAAATACTATTTCAGCACTGCTCCGTCTCACACATGTCCTTCCTTTCATATGGACACTGTCATGTCTCACTGAGTATGGGTGCTACTTCTGTAACAGAATTTTCCACCGAAGTCATAGAATGTTGTCTGTTGTTCCTGGTCGATTTGTGACTATTGCAGATACGATGTCTGTCTGTCTCTTTGTTAATGCCGGAAGTCCCACTTCTGCTAGAGGGCAATTGTAATGGCCTGTAGTGCCTATAAGGGGGCGGAGAAGAAGGATTTTAGGGCTCATCTAAGTTGGTGCTGGACAGAACCATTTGCCTCTTGCCTCTTTGCTGCATGTGGCCAGGAACTTTGCTTTTACTTTTTCCATGCAGCCTACAGCTGTAGGTGTAATTGTCTTTTTGGTGCCTCTTTTTTGGTTGGTCCCCTCTTCCCTTTGCTCCTTTCTTCTTTTAGCTTTTAGCGTTGCCTTTTTCATTCTCCACTCCTGATGCCTGTTGAATGCTTGAGCCGATTATGATGAGGAGGAGGAGGAAGGGAGGAAGCATGTACAGATTCTGTTACATTTAATTATGTTAGATTCATCATAGAATTTTTC